AGTTTGTGCTTCCATCATCTTTGATGATGATTCTTCGGCTTTCAGCAACTTGACCCGAGTTCAAATAAACGAACTGGTTGAAGAGATAAGAAATTTTAATTTTCAGGTTTTTAATTTTATTAATATCTTATTCAACTTCTTTAATTTTCTTTCATGTGGTTTCAAAGAATAAAGGTCATTTGGTCGGGTTGAGTCGTTGAGCCGCTTTTGCTTCTTCTTCCTAAGTGTCGTTTACCAATCCCGTTTATGGAGTAGTTACGGAACAAGGATGAGTAGATGGAAACTTTGGCGACTGAAAATGCTACAATTCTTACTGAAATGACAGTACTCAAACCGCAAATGACAGAACAAAGAGCTCAAATGGCAGAAACTCAAAGGAGGAATCAACAGCTGATGAATAAGAAGAAGCGACTATTTCATGCTGAGTTTTAGTTTAAAAAAAAATTAAAAACTTTTAATGTTTTTTTTTAAGTTTTAAGATCACAATAAATCAGTGTTAAAAAAATCTTGTAAATAGTGTCACAATAATAATTTTATATTTATGTATTAAAAACTCTACATTTAGTTTAGATATGATATGATATATATACTTATTTATCTGCTGAACGGAGTAGATATCTATATTATTAAAATAGAAGTACACTTATAAAATACCCCTCAGTTTTTCTAATTATTGACAATATTATGCCACTGAAGTTATTAATTACTCTACCTTATAAGATTCTTTGTCTTTTCACTTTAATTAATGCATTTCCAAAATCAAATTTTAACTAAACAAATTATGGCAATAATTAATGAAAATAATTATTTTCATATATACCTTTCCTAATTAAATAAATAAATTATATAGAAATTTTTTTTACTAATTCCATATACATAATAATTAATTCCAATATTAGTTAACCTACCTTTTAGGATTTTTTTTCTTATTAATTATCTACATATCTTTAAATAGTTAATGAACAATATTGTTTTCAAAGATATATAATTATATTTTTATTATTTATAAGTAATAACTAAAATAAAAGTCACAAAAGAAACATTTATATAATATACAATACATAGATTAATATAAACATATTATGTTATGTATATTTTTATATAAATAATAGTTCAAGGTAAATTCAGAATAATAAAAGTTAAAAAAGTAGAAATATATAGGACCATATATTTTAAATAGTAGATACAACAATTTAGTTATACATTATCAAAAAAATTTGATCCATAAAAAAAAACATTTGTGCAGATATACGGGTCATATTTTTAAAATAAGTATGACACAATGATAGTTTATAAGATAAAATAAAATTATTCAATATAAACTATAAAATTGTGTGTTTAAAATGTCATTTTAAACAATTATTTAAACGGGTAAATTTAGAAATATATACTATTACTTATAAAATATATAAAAACAAACACTTCCGCGGATCAAACAACACAATTTTCCGTATTATTCTATCAAAATTAAACCCATAAGTAATTTGTAATCATTTAATTGATACTTCATTTTTTATTTTACAAATTTCAATCCAAATGTTTTGTATATTAAAAATTTTATATAATTTGAACATCAGGCTTTTTCTTAGAAACGTTATAACTAATTTATCATTTTTTGTATACCATATTAACTCTTATTTCTCAAGATTTGATGTATCTTTAACTGAAAAATATTTTCAATATATCGTCTACATGTTAGATTTGTTTGTATGATACCCAATATTTTTGATACATTAAATTGTTAACACACACAAAAAAACTTAATGTAATAGAATTAATTTTAAAAAAATTCATTTAATATAAAAATTAAAAAATAATTAAAAATTATTACCCGTGCAGTCGCACGGGTAGAGGTCTAGTTCACATCTTAAATTTTAGTATTTATAAATTCTGTAAGGGATAAAATTCCCCGGTTAGGGGTGTAGTTCTTAATTTTATGTGACACTTTTAAAGGTTTTCATATAATAGAGCTAGGCATTTTATCCAGTACCCGAATCCGAAGTTGAATTCGATACCACAAATCTGAATCGAAATTTGAACCGAAGTAGTAAAATACCCGAACAAGTATAGAATTAAGAGAGATTAGATATCCAACCCGAATGGGTAATATCCAAATCTGAATGGATATTCGAACATATGTATATTTAACCTTATATTTCTATTTTATTTATCTAGTATCTTTAAAATATTTATTTTGATGTTACACATGGCTAAAAATCATATAATATACATTTAACTGCGGATAAAGTGATTTGTTATTCACTTAAAATACATGTCATGCTTTAACAAAATTTGCATTCAAATTTTCTAAACAACAATTAAATTAAGGATTTTTATTTACAAAATTTTGTTTGAAACTTGTTAATCTTTCAACCTATTTTAATAGTGAGTTTGAGTGTAAATTTTTAAGTATAAGAAAATTGATTAATGAAGAATCTGGTTTTTTTTTTACTTTAAAATATCCGAACCTAACCCGAAATAATCAAATTTGAACTAAAAATATTTGAACCCGACCCGATATGTAAAAGTACTCTTCTAAACTCTTGTACCAAAAAATATTTGAAAGTCCAAAATACTCATATGAATCTAAACGGGTATCCGAACACTTAGGCTTAGTATCTATACTATTAAAGCAAGATCCTATTGTTAAAATTTTGGATTCTACCCCTAGATTTTATCACATTTATAAGAGAATAGCAGTATTTATTTTTAGAATCTTAATTAATTAAACAAATAAATGTCTCCTATATTTATGGTAACTGATAATATTTCCTATTTTTGTGATTAATAATAATTTTCCTTTTATGAAAATTATGATTTTCTATTTAATTTTAATATCATATTTCCGTGCATCATATTATTTAGCGATCAAAAATTATAAATTATTATTTACTGTTTCATTTTATCCATAATAATGATATGTCAATTCAATTTGTTTTAAAAACTAAATTTTAGATATAAAATGAGTAAAAATGTAAACTATCATAGGTTATTAATAACGAAAAGAAACTAATATTGTTATATGAATAAATTGTGTTTTTTTTTCTATTGCCATTGTTTCATTTTTTCAAATGACAAGAAAGTTTTTATTAAAGAAATTACAAAAAATCAATTTTCTTTAATATTAAAAATATGAATTATTTAACAAATTTTTCAAAATATATTATCAGTTTTTATGGGGTTATTTAACCGATCAACGGATATCATAATACAGACTAATAGCGGGTTTTTAGATATATACCGGGTTGGCTTAAATTTTTAATTAGTAAATTTTTAATTAAATCTTAACTGGATTATATAAAAATTGCCGGATGTAGCGGTTCAACTATGGATCTGGGTCGGATATGGAAACATTACGTGAAAATCAGACATTATAATAGAATTTTTTTAAATATTAATAAAACAACTAGATCTTGACCCGCGCAACCGCGCGGGTGTTTGTTTTAGGATAATTTTTGCGTTTAAAAATTATGGATTTTCATGTCTTTAATTTTTTATAAATTGTATTTGTTGATGCTATGATTTATTCAAATTCAAAAAACTAAAGTAGTATGTTAGATAAACTTTTTAAATTGATAGATTTACAAAATATATTATTTTCAAGTGTATTTGTTAAGGATGGGCAAATACACTGAATTCGAAAAAGATTGGAAATATATTAAAAATATTGGAAATACATTGAAGTTATTCAAGTATAAATCAATATTTTTGGAACTGATAATCTGATTAA